TATTTAAACATCTGCCCAAATCTTCAAAATACTTTATTATTAAACGTTTCAAAATGTTAAGTAGCACACTTTAATGGGAACAAAATTCTTTGTAATCAGGATGTTGGTCATGAATTCTTAGTTTTATGATCATAAATTAAATCCTATGTTTAGTCAGTCCTCGAATATTGTATTCATGAGGATCTGTATATATGCAATTTCTCATTCCCTCCAGATGCATTGAGTAAACAATTTCTTCACTGTTATTTCCACAGTCTTAATTTATAGGCTTGTCAACGGAAAAGAAGCCAAACTCTGTAAAATAATTTTAAAGACATTTATTCTGAGCCAAATCTGAGGACCATGACCCGGAGCCACACCCAAGAAGCCTTGAGCAGTGGACTCACTGCGGCTGGGTTACAGTTTGGTTTTATACATTTCAGAGAGACAGGAATTACAAGTAAAGTCATAAATCAATACCTGGAAGGCATACATTGCTTTGGCCAGAAAAGGTGGGTCATCTCCAGATGAGGGGCTTACAGTTTATAGATGGGTTTAAAGATTCTTTGACTTGTAATTGGTTGAAGACATGAAGCTTTCTCTAAAGGCTTGCAATGTTTTAAGATAAGGAGGTCTGTTAATCAGAGACAAGCTACCAGACATATTTGTTGTGTGACTTGAGGACCTGCAGGTTTGTCATGTATATAGCCTTAGGCCTGTTAATGAGTTACAAAGGATATCTCCAAGAGGACAGGGGGCATGATGAGGCAGGTCTGACCTCCCTCCTTGTGGCAGGCAATTTAGTTTTAGGATATCCTCTTGGCCAGGAGGGGGGTCCAGTCTACCAGCCTACTGGAGGGAGACTTAAGATTTTATTTTAGTTCACAGGCTGACATTCAGCTATCTAATAAACGGCATCAGTATCCCAGGCAGAGAGTTGTTTTTAAATTTCCTTCATGGTGTATATGTTCAATGAATGTTTAAAAACATCTATTATCATCAAGGTGTTGTGCTCTTGAAGGGTACACTCGAAGATATATCTCCTGTCTTTAAAGAGCTAACAAACTATGACTGCCATCAACCCACTAAATTGGAAGGTGTCTTCTAGAAGATTTATATAGTGCTCAAGCTAAAGCCTAGAATTCATTCCAGATTCCTCTGTCTCCTTCAGTTGCTACATCCAATTAATCAGTAAGTCTGACAATTTTATAAACTAAATATATCTCAAATATGTACCTTCTTCTCTAAGGTCATTAGCATTTGTCCCCCTATAACTTGATCCCTGCATATAAGACTTATGTCACATACCTATTACTTTTAATGTTATGATCATGTCATTGGGAACATACTGTAGTTCAACAAACATTACAATTTTCTACATACTCGTGGCATTTTGCTCACAATACTCAACTCCCTTATTCCTTTTCCAGGTAATATGATCTGACTATCTCCACCCACCAAGTGATGTACCCCTTCTAAAATCTATCTCAACACAATGGACAAATCTCAGTCATAATGCTTCCCATTTGTATAGATTGTATCTGTTTGTGGATCTGTCTCCATTATTAGACTTTATTGCAGGAATATCCCAATAGCAAGGATAGTATCAGAATCACCTTGGGATGCCTAAAAATGTAGTAGTAATTTAGTATAAACTCAAATTTAATATGATATCAATAAATATTTAACTGAGCTGGCAATACTAGTTGCATAATTAATAATTAACAAATAAAAATTAACTTCCATTAACTAGACAGAAAGCAAAACTGTCAACAGCAGCAAGATGGTTGCCAAAAGACAGTAAAATGACATAATATCTCCAAAGAGCTGAGAGACAGTAATTGTCATCCTAAAACTGTACTCCCAGCTAAGCTACCATTAAAAGATACAATGAAATAAACACTCTGAGAAAAATTTTAAGAAACTGTGAAAGTGCTTACTCCAAGAAAACTTTTTTCTTACTTCATCCACCAATGACTTTAATCAAAGCAGAACATAATAATCAGAATAACTGAAGTGAATTTATTTTTCTGTTGCTGTCCATCTCTGTTAAAGTATTGATTTATTGCTATATATTTATCTATTTGTAAACAGATCCAGAGAATTAGAAAAATTAGTCTGGAATCACCAGGCTGAAGGTTTACATAAAATCAAAAGGTAAGTAACAATGCCTCCAAACTGTAAAATGTGGTTACCTGAGTTGGGGAATAAAAGGTTCAGTGTGAAAAATCTAAGAAAAAGGTTATATGTGGACTATTAGTAAAAAGGTACTGGATCCACAGAATTATCTGGTAAATCAGAGATGTTCCCCAAATGTCATAAGCCAAACTGTTGGATATTTCTACCATTAGCTAAAAGAGAAGCACACTCTCTATTAATGCATTTTTTAAAATGGAAATTGTCAACCATTCTGCCCTAAAGTGGACCTTTCTTTTGGGCCCGCTTTACTTACTACATATGGTCCTAAAAAGAAAAGTAGTGATCCATTTTATTCTGTAAAGATGCATAACTTAATATGAAGTAAAGGGATTTAAAGCTGCACTACTCTGAAGGCCTTTGTAACTCAAAGATTTTTAAGTTGAGAATCACCTGGTTTGGGCTCTTGGTCTTTTTATACATCGTTATATACTTTTTATTGTCGGTTGCCTCAAGCTATTCTTGGCCCCAAAACGTGTCATAATAATTTATAATAAACAGAGCAGGAAATAATTACCCTATTTATGTCAATTTATTAAGCTTTTTCTAAAACAATGTCTCTTAAACACCTTATCTTTGCAGTCTTGGCTAATGAGAAGTTCAACCCATGGCAAGTACTTATTTTTTGCTTTCAAGAAGACAAAATAACTTCGCTTGGTGAGCTTGGAGCCTTGTCCAGTGTAAGAAATTACAGCAAGCTGCTCCAGTATGCTCCAAAAGGATCAGAAAATTCTTTTGTTCGAGTACAGTGAGGGTTGAGGGTGAAATGGGAAATCTGGTTTGCGCATCTGGCTCGCATTCGGTGTCTTCCCCACAAAATGGGAAGCATTAAGAAATTCCTAGTTAGAAAAAGAGCCCACTACAGGGCGTCCAGCACTGGCACCGTTAATATTTGAAACACGGACTTTGGTGGGGGGGGGAACCAGGGGCAACACACGTAACCTAAACATATGTACACCCATAATTTGCTGAAATAAAAAAAAAAAGTCAGACTGCAGTTAAGGCAACTTCAATAGAGAGTAGGAGAGTGGCGACGGTTTTCCATATTCCGAAGAACTTGTTGAAGGGAGGTTGAAGGGAAGGTGCAAAAGCGAGGTGCTAAAGGAAAGTAAGCAGGGCCTTTACGCAGAAGCCCGGGTTCGAATGCAGCTTTGATAATATAATCACGACCACCAGCAGCAGCCGCGAGGGGCACGCCCCACGCCCGGCGCGCATGCAGCTCCCCACCCCACCTGCTGGTGGTGACCGGCTTACCCGCAGTCCCACTGTCCCGCCCCGCTCACGTCACCGCAGCTGTGAATGCATCTGTCCTGTCCGCCTCGCCCACCGCACACCCGGCACTCACCCAGCCCCCACCCTCCAGCAGAGCAGCTGGGGCTGCCGCAGGCAGGAGCCCAGGATGGGGGGTCGTGGCTAACCCCTCCTGGCTCCGTCCCCCTCCAAGAAAACTCTAATGAAGGATTTATTAATGTATATGTTTTATGAAGAACAAAGTTAAATTTTAAAAAATTTAAAAGTTCTGGTGCTTGAAGAACCCACAAGCAACGAAGGTAATAAACATGAATAATTTAAAAAGCATACGTACTAGGTTATTAAGTATGAAATGTTCGATTTCCTTAAATACTAAGTTTGACAGTTGATATCTCTGACATTTCACGTTGACATTTGTTTTATTTTTATTGCGAAGGTACATCCTCATTCTTGCAAATGCACGTTTTGGCTTGTGATTATCTTTCAATTTTTTTTTTTACAGCAATTTTTGTGAAATCATGGATAAATCAAAAATTCGTGTTATTTTTAAATATGAGTTCTGTCGTGGAATCAATGCGGTGCAGACAGGTCGAAATATCAACGAAGTGTTTGGAAGGGATGTGGCTAATGAACACACAGTACGTCAATGGTTTGAGAAGTTCCGTTCTGGTGATTTTCATCTTGAAAATGAGCCACGTGGGTGACCTGAGACCAAAGTGGATAATGATGAGCTGAAACCTGTAGTGGAAGCGAATCCTTCCCAACCTATGCATGAATTGGCAGCAAGGTTTGACGTTACTATTCCAACAATATTGGACCATGTGAAACAAATCAGCAAGGTAAAGAAGCTGGACAGATGGGTTCCACGTGAATTAAACCAGCATCAGAAGAGAAATCGTCTTGAAGCTTGCCTTTCTTTGCTGTCACAACATAAAGATGAACCGTTTCTACACCATATTGATACCTATGATGAAAAAATGGATTCTTTTTGACAATCACAAGCGTTCGATTGTCAATGGTTGGATAAAGATGAAGTGTCGAGACACAGTCCAAAACCAAATATTCATCCAAAAAAGCTACTGGTGTCTGTTTGGTGGTCCAGCACTGGTATTATCCACTACAGCTTCATGAAACCTGGTCAATCAATTACAGCAGATTTCTACTGCAACTAATCGGATGCACTGATGAGGATGCTTGCAATTAAGCAGCCGAGACTGGTCAATGGAGACAGGCCAGCCTTCTTGCAAGACAATGCTCAACCACATGTCACATAAACAACGCTGCTCAAATGACAGAAGCTGGACTTGGAAACTTTCTGTCATCCACCATATTCACCAGATCTTGCACCAACTGACTACCACTTCTTCCAGGCTTTAGACCACTTCTTGCCAGGAAAAATATTCAATTCTCAACAGCTGTGGAAAATGCCTTTTTGCGATTTCATTGCCACTCGCTCTCCAGGCTTCTTCATTGCTGGCATAAACAAGCTACCGTTAAGATGGTAAAACTGTGTCGATAGTTTACGTGCAAACTTTGATTAATTGCACTCCTTGTTTGAGAGATAATAAACTACACTTTTGATCAAAAATTGGACATTTCATATTTAATGACCTAACATAAAACACACACACAAAATAATGAGTAACATGGGGTCAAAATCATGGTAAAACTAAAATACTTGACCACAACATGTAAGGGGGCACAGGGTGGAACACTGATAAGAGTTAAGTCATTCCAGGATCATTTATTATTTGATTGTAGAAATATTAATGAATATTATACTTTGTTAAAATTTTAGTGGTAACTTGTAGAGGATATAAGAGAAATGCTTATCTTCTGGACTGGCAAAAGAAATACAAAATTATGGAGAAAATGTTATTAACTACAGGGAAGGTAGAATAAGAATAAAAAGAAGAAGAAAGAGGTGACTTTAAAATGTGCAATCAGATGATAGGAAACTCCCAAATACATCAGTGAAAAGGAAGTTCAGTAGTTGGAGGGCATAGGGTTTTAGATGGGGAAAACTCTATAAATAGAAATTTAATTTGGCACTGACTCTCTGAAAAGCTCTGGGAAAATATATACCAACAATCTCAAGTTGATTTACCCTTTTTAACTAAATAATACCACTTCTAGAAATGTATCC